CCCCCCCACCCCCCCAACACACACACACACACACACACACACATTCACTATTGAAGTTCTTGAAATGTTTGTTCATTCTGCCTTTTCTTCTATATCCTTCTATCTCAAAATAGTAGGATATAGAATAAGGTCACTGGAAGCTTAAATGAATGCTATTTTATGTGCATATTAACTGCATTTTTTTTTCAATTATCGTAGCATCATCATTAATCAATGCCACTTGTTTGCAGTGCAGTCAACAACTTACCTATGGGATACCCTGTCATACAGCAGCCTCCAGTTCCTGCTACAGGCCAACATCATTTTGATTCTACAGGATATTCCACATCTAGCTGTCACATTGTTAATGGTGTTCCAGCACCAGGCAATTTCCATCCAATGCGCATGACGTCTGGGAATGAGTGAGAATTCTTTTTATTTATAGCCTCTTCTTCCTTTACTTTTAAATGCTGATGCTTGAAATTTGCAGAGAAATTTCATAGTCATGAATATTTTTTCGTCTAAGCTCTTAATCTATTATGTTATAATAACCGTTGAATATTTCTGTAAAATTTAGGCTGAAAAGTACTACTATTATACGAAGTTCATGGTAAACCTTACTCAACCAAACCAAGGTCATAATAGTTTGTAAAGAAATTTTAAGTTTGTGATACAAGGAACGGCAGGAATAGTTTCGGTAATTGATACTCGATTTGAATCACTCTTCGACATTCAAGGTTAAAAACCACCCAATTGGCCTTCACAGTGAGATGAGCTACAAAGCCTCAATGCCTTGATTGTGAGACAGTTTTTGGAGGCATACATGCCTAAGTTGTGTGAGGTGCACGCCTTGCAGCAGTCTTAAGGCTTGTGAGGTGTGCGCTTCTTAGTTCTCCTAACTTATTTACCTTGCTATAGGTGTGTGTCCACAAAAGATAAAATTGACTCATTTTGGTACAACCCACTGCCCTCAAACATTTAATATCTGCGTTTTTCATGGACATACTTTGAGAATAATCCACTGCCCTGCCCTTCCCCGCCCTGCTCTACCAACTGAAATAATAGTTCCCTTTTGTTTTATAGAATTTTCTTTTGTTTGATTGTTCTGTTTAAATTGTCCTTTATGAATTTAGATGATTGTTTATAATTTATTGCGTGTTTATATTGCATTTTAACAATTTTTTAACATTGTTTTTGATTTACGGCCCCTCAGTACCTGATTACATCTTTATAAACATTGTTTATGCTAGCATATTAAATCTTCTGCTGACGAGTGTCATTTTCTTCTGTTTGTAGTATGATGATCGACACTGGTGCAGTTGATGTATCACCTGCTATGCCTCCAAATAATGCGATGTCATCCGTGTCAGGTATGCCCGTAAGCCCCCCATCTGTAGCTTCCACTGGCCATTTTTCGTTCAGCGCGTCAGAGATATCTGGCATGGGAGTTGACACATCAGCCCTTGACACGGCTTTTACATCAGACATGGCGAGTTCAGTAGGACTACAGCTTCCACCTGATAATGGGGCTGGAAATTCTAGAGATTCCCTCAGATCCTTGGCTCAGATACCTTGGAACTTCAGCCTTTCAGACCTGACCGCAGATCTATCAAATTTGGGAGGTGATTATGATCTGATCTAACTTGGGTTGTTCACCTTTTTCTAAATGTGCAATTCTCGTATTTTTGGGGCATGACTTGATTTTACTTTGTTGTATGAATAAAGACTGTGTGGGGTTTGCATAACTATTATGAGCATTCGCGTAACATTATATGTGATGAGAAAGAAAAAAAGGTTCAGGTCTCGTCCATTATCTTTTATAGTAGTGTTGAGTACCGGTTAGCAAAAATGTACCGCAACTCCCCCGAGATATTTTTAGCTGCTTTGACATAGCCCTTGTTTGAGCCCCATTTTGGGGGAAAAATGCATAGTGAATAGTAGATTGATAGAGAATGTGCGGTTAAAAAAAAAAGGAAAATATTTGGATTTGCGTGTAATATTATTTTATTAAAGAATGTGTGGTTAAAAATGACTTTTGAAAAAATAATTTTTTAGAAGAATGGAGCTCAAACAAGGGCATAGTAGTAGTTTATTGCATGAAAAGTATCCTTTTTTCCGTCGTATTGCTAACTATTTCTCCTTATCCTTTTTATATGTCGTAACTATTTATGCCCGTTACTTAAAAAAATTGCAGATCTAGGAGCTCTTGGAAACTATCCCGGCTCTCCATTTTTGCCTTCTGATTCAGATATTTTACTTGATTCTCCTGAGCAAGATGATATAGGTAAGAAAGAAAACATCCTAAATTATTTCTGTAATTTAATTGAAATTGTTGAAATAGCATGTAATGGAGTACTTATTGCGGGTCTTACGGAATGTATGGGATAATAAGTGGATAACAAGTGAATATGTGGATAAAAAGTAAAATTGACTAGCTTAAATTATAATGAAAGCAATGCCAAACATGCACCAAGGACGTCATGCAATAACATTTTCGGTCTTATTTTGATGCTCTAACGCTCATTGCTGTTGTTTCAGTAGAGGAGTTTTTTGTTGATTCTCTTCCTGGGCCACCGTGCCCAACATCGGACGAAGAGAAATCCGAGCTGTAGCCGAGACGCATTCTCCAGGAAGTTCCAGAATTTAGTAGTAGAACTAGCTGGTATGTAATAATCGTTAAGGAAGAACCACATTAGCTCTGCTTATCAATTAAACTAGAAATTAGACCTTTCAGGTGATGTAGCTCTATTATAGAAATATCGTTTACTGTAATGTTAATTGATACAGTGAATGAAGAGCATGATAAATCTTCGGGAGCGAGATCATACCATGTTAAGTTGTATTTTCTTGACTAGTATAATATTAAATTATCTTGGATAATATTATTAAATTATGCATGTGACAATTTATTAGTTTATTTCGAGCCTGGCTGTCGAATGATTATGAAAAACAATATAAAAAAGGGGAATAATACACGATAAAAGTCTTTGTCTTTCTTTCTTTTTTCTTTTTTAATAATTTCCGTAAGAGGAAATGTCTGGTTGGCCCAACTTTTCACCAAACTATTCGTTTAGTATTATATTTTTGAACAAGGACAGGGACAATAGTCCATTTCTACTTTCTTGACTTCCATATGTAATTTTTTATTCATTTGAAAAATATAAAAATATTCTTTGCTTTCTACTAGTAATTGAAACGTTATTTAACGTGAATCAATAAATCTATCAAAAAATAGTTATTGTACCATTACAGAAGACAGAAGAGATTTATAATTCCTAGTAAGAAAACATGGATCGAGACTTTTTGTGGGCATCAGTGTATAGATAATTCTTGTTTCTTGTCCTGTTGGAGAACATTTCGCTATTAACCTCTCTCACGATGTTTCAAGGGCGGGGCGATGGGGGGATCCTTAAGGTTGGGGTTCAATTTTTTATTATTATTACTAGTAAGAAATGCAGGATCAAGTTTTCACTCGTTTATAAATAATGAAATAATTTTTATTAATATATTTCGAGGAGTTAAAAAATCCTAATAACTTATTTATTGTTTATTTTTATCTATTTATAAATTGTAAACACTTTCCAAATCCATAAATAGTGGTATCAATCTGTCCGTACAATGAGAAAGCCCGTCCTGTTTTATCTAATGTGAATGGATTTGGCACTAACCATTGAAAGTTTTTGTGTACTCTTATAAACGGTTGATTGAACAAGAAACCTTTACCAAATGCGTGGCCTTCTATTTTTTATGTTTTATTTTTTTTATGTGTAGTCGCAATCCAAATGCAAACAGGATAGGATTACGGGAGATTTTCGAGAAGTGAGATAGAAATTTAAAGTGTGCGTTTGAGCCGTATTATTTCTGAAAAATGCATTTTGAAATAATAGAATGATGGAGAATTGTGGTTAAAAAATAATGAAAAGTTTTAAATTTATGTGTAATATATTTTGTTGAAGAATTTATGATTGAAATGATGTTAAATCACTGTTTAAAAATATATATTTTTCTTAATAACGCGGTTCAAACATGGCCTAAAAGTAATTATTATTATTCTTATTTTTTAATTCTGTTTACTTATTTATTTCGAGATGTGGGTTCGGAGTTGAATCCTTGCCTCAACCCGGGATGGACTAGGAACGAGAAAAAATGTATTTTCTACGCTTTGACTCTTCTCCCGCCAAAGTCTTCTCTCACTAATAAAAGACCGTGTCCATCCATCCCTGCAAAAGTAATCTCCAAGAAATTTCTCAAATGAAAGCTGCCTTTATTGACGATTAAACGATTAGTTATATAAACTAACTAATAATCCCATCATAATGGGCACTCAAATCTTTCTATGTAAGTTCCCAATTTCACTTCCTGTTGAACTTTCAATGTTTTATTGTCGTCCTGTATTTGTTTATTTAGATTAAAGATTGTCTTTGCAAGTGATCATATTGTATTTTCTCATTTAATTCTGTTTATTGGGTTGTCATTTTTCAGGTTAATGAATTTTGCAATTTTTGGCTGTAAATAAGGAAGAGTACAGTTTTAGGCTGATTGTTCATCGGGGAGATTTTACAGCACATCAGTTGCAGAAATGAAAATCAAGCCACGGAAATATGTGAGGTTAGTTAAAATAGCCCGTGTATGGATATGATCGTTCTTTTTTGTTTCAAATTCTGCTGAAAGCAAGTTATAATCTTATCCTGATTGGGAGTTCAATAAGTTCATGGTTGGTTTTGAATAAATTCGAGTAGATATATGGTGTTGAGGCAGAGTAAGGTGGGGCGTGGAATGGAATATGGATAATATATTAGTTTAACAATACAACATGACATGTTTGATATGCTTGGATAATAACATAAACGAATTTGAACTTCTTTTTCTTATTTAATTCTATCTAATATAGTCGAGATTTTAGTTTCTATTTTTGTATGATATTGTACTTCTTTCTCTTTTGATGTGAACTGTGCTTCTGGCCCGATTGTTAGCACTTGGTAGATTGTGGGCATATTTGGATACAGCTTTCCTATAAGCCCACAAAGTGAGGGACCGACACTATGTCGGGTTACAAGAATGTGGACCTACACTTTTTTTGGCTAATAAGAAAGTTTTATAAGCTCCGTTTGTACATGCCTCGTATTCTGTTTTTTATATCCCCTGCAGTTCGAAGTGATTTAAGCTAATGAAATTTTGATTGGATACCCAAAAAAGAAATAAAAAATCTAAACATATATATATTACAGTATTTTCTGCATGGTCCTGTTATATAGTTTAAGTTTTTGAAAGCCTTTTTTGCCCATAATGACATGCTACTGCTTTCATTTTCTTTTGTCCAGGTTTGAGGAGTCCAATTCTGAGACGTCTTTTAGTCCCGAGCAGCACTCAAATAGTTGGCAATTTCCGAAATGGAATCCAAATTTGAGTTCAGTAATGAGTGGAGTTAGAAGAGGATTCGAAATAGGTTCTTCAAGGATGAAAAGCTTGAGAAAATCCCTACACAGTCATTCTTCACATAATGATAAGCCGAAGTCAAGTTCGAAGAAAATAATTCTTGACCCTCAGGGACCGTTTGTTCAAAGATGGAACAAAATCTTTGTACTTGCTTGTGTGATTGCAGTTTCCCTCGATCCGCTGTTCTTCTACATTCCTGTAATTGATGGTGAACAGCAGTGCCTTGATCTGGACGATAGATTAAAGATTGCTGCTTGTGTTCTTCGATCATTTACTGACCTCTTTTACATATTTCACATTGTTTTGCAATTTCGTACCGGATTTATTTCCCCTTCCTCCCGAGTATTTGGGAGGGGTGAGCTCATTGAGGATCCTAAGGCTATAGCAAAGCGATACTTGATGTCCTACTTCATCGTTGATGTTTTAGCAGTTCTTCCCCTACCCCAAGTATGTGTCCATTTTGTTGTCAATTGAAGCTACAGTTATATAAAACAAATGGTTTCATTGTATCTCGTTCTTTCGTCTGCAGGTGGTAATTTTAATAGTCGTTCGCTACTTAAATTCGCCATTGTCACTAGCTACAAAGGACCTGTTGAAGATCGTCATTATCTCCCAGTATGTTCCAAGACTTTTTCGGATCTATCCTTTATACAAGGAAGTTACCAGGACATCAGGCATATTTACTGAAACGCCATGGGCTGGAGCTGTTTTTAATCTCGTTCTCTACCTGCTTTTCAGTCATGTAAGCTTCTTTGGTTTATTTGCATAGAATATGCAATGCTATTTTGAACTAAAATTTATCGTAACTTTCAGCTCATCTTAGAGCTTCATTTTACACAGTTTCTTCATTTTAAAATCTTAAATTCTTTGGCTTCAGTTTAGATCATCTTGTACTTGAAAGTATTTCTAAATGAATTCAGGATGAAGTTGTGCATGCACGTACATTTTAAGAGTCTCATGGCAACTCCAATAATTCAGATTATTATAAGATGACCATACTGTAAAAGTACTTTGAATAAAATAAAGTAGCACTTATTTGCTATAAGGATCTTATCAGCATATGAATATAGTTGAGTATTTGCTGCTCTGCTACGTAGAGTATTACCTGCCTCCACAAGGAATCGCATGATAAATTTGCACTTCATTTCTGCTCCTCTCACATGTTCCGTAATCTTGCAAGGTGCTAATTTTATTTGTCAGGTACTTGGAGCATTCTGGTATTTGTTCTCAATAGAGAGCAAACATAGATGTTGGCGCAATGCATGTGATAACAATGGTTGTGAATTATATAATTTATATTGTGGAAATGCTTCCTGTCTACTTGAATCAAATGAAACAAAGAGCCCTGCGGACTTTGATTTTGGCATATTCCTTGATGCTCTTCAGTCTCATGTTGTCGATCGCAAAGACTTTTCTAAGAAGTTCTTCTATTGCTTTTGGTGGGGACTGCGGAATTTAAGGTTTGTGATTCTCTTAATGTTTCTTTATGCCTAAGTTTTGTGTTGTTTTATACCTGTTCTCATATGTTGCTCATTTCAGTTCTCTGGGCCAAAACCTCAAAACGAGCACTTACGTTTGGGAGATTATTTTTGCCATTTCCATCTCCATCATTGGGCTGGTTTTATTTTCATTGCTTATTGGTAACATGCAGGTATTACTTGATTTCCATTTTCCATTAAAATACCTTCTGCTGGTACGTATACTTTACGGCACGTTTAATAAACAATACTGCACAGTACTAGATGCATAATGGACAAAATTGTAACTTATTTTCTTGTCTTACTACTGTCACGTGTTGTCTTATCCACCTTATCGAGCATGCCATAAGCTGATATCTGTTCTGTACATTTCATCAAAGTATTCAGCGCTTGTTCTTTCAATTATATCCACTTAAGGTCAATTCCTAGGGCCTAACATATTTTTCCTACAGAAATTTGAAATAAAATGGTTAAACTTGCTTTCCGTTACAGAAATATTTGCAGTCTATCACTGTTAGGGTTGAAGAGATGAGAGTGAAAAGGCGAGATGCTGAGCAATGGATGTCCCACCGTATGCTTCCTGATAATTTACGAAAACGGATTAGACGATATGATCAATACAAATGGCAAGAAACCAGGGGCGTGGAAGAAAATTCTTTGATTCGTAACCTGCCTAAGGACTTGAGAAGGGATATCAACCGCCATCTCTGCTGGACACTACTCACAAGAGTAAGTGCACTTCAATTACTACTCTCGAGTACTCTCTATTCATATTTGGTAGACAGTACTATTTGGAAGTTTGATCACAAACATGCCGTTCAAGTTCTTCATGCTCGTTCTTTAGTTGACAGTATGCTTATCAAGTTATCGACTATTTATTACAGGTGCCAATGTTTGAGAAAATGGACCAACAACTGTTGGACGCTATGTGTGATCATCTGAAGCCGGTTCTATACACAGAGAAGAGCTTCATAGTTCGCGAGGGAGATCCAGTTGATGAGATGCTCTTTATTATGCGTGGTAATATATTGACCATGACGACCAATGGTGGTAGAACTGGTTTCTTTAACTCTGATTATCTCAAGGCCGGGGACTTTTGTGGAGAAGAACTTCTTACTTGGGCTCTGGATCCCAACTCTTCCTCCAGCCTTCCCATCTCAACCAGAACCGTGCAAGCTATAAAAGACGTCGAGGCCTTCTCTCTGATGGCTGGTGACCTGAAATCTGTGGCCTCTCAATTTAGGCGTCTTCACAGCAAGCATATTCAGCACACTTTTAGGCAAGTTCATTTTTTATTAAAATGATTACAGTTTATCCCTGTGCCCCCACCCCCGATAAAATGTTAGGGACTAATCTGTAATCCCAACCTGGGAGCAATAATGAACGATATGAAAAACAGAAACGCACACACAGAAATAGAAAAAACTTATCTTGATTCTCCCTCAATGTGAGAGCTATGTGTACTCACCACTATTAATGAAAGAAGAGAATCACGAGGTTACATCATACCTATCTGAAAGGACACCCTGTGAGTTCCTATTATGACGTAGAGAACTATGGCGTCTTTAACTATATGCCCAATATACAAAGAAAGTAAATCTGCTATTAAGGTGATATGTGAACATTATAATTAGGCTCCGTAATTCAGGTCTCCTTGAATGAAATATGTCACTGAAGTTTATGAAGAAAATAAGCATGACTCAGCTGTTTACATAAATGCTTCAGGTTGTACTCTCAGCAGTGGAGAACATGGGCAGCTTGCTTTATCCAAGCAGCATGGCGTCGACATTGCAGAAGGAAGATTGAGAAATCTCTGCAAGAGGCAGAAGATAGAATGCACGAGACCTTGGCAGAAGAAGGCGGGAGCTATCCTAGTCTCGGTGCCACCATTTACGCGTCAAAATTTGCTGCCACTATGCTTGGTGTCTTGCACAACAATCATCCACATAATGCTAAATTATCCCCCCGATTACCTAGTGGAAAATTACCTCCTCTGCTGCTTCAGAAGCCAGCCGAGCCTGACTTTAGTGCGAAAGACCATTCATAGGGATAATATACTTGTATGGCACCCTATCGGATGACCTGATGAAAAAGGTATTGTTATTACCATGTATGTTTTTTCTCCAATCTCGAGTTTTCTTTTTGTATGTACATAAATAATTTTTTGATACGCTATTGCCTTTGCATCTGTATGCGAATTTGGCTCAGTTTCACAAGAAATTTTCTAGTATGTATATAAATGACAACCTGTAGCTATTGTTCATTGAACCTTGCTATAAATCCAGGGCGCATGTGGCCCTGGACGTCCAGGGCGCCAAAATAGCGTCCCCTATAGGTGGGGGGCACCATGTCTACAAGGAGCTTTTTCCATTGTGTATTAGTACCAGTTGTTACAATTTTTGTAGAAGTGAATAAGAGATATAAAAACAAAATGTATCCCCTAGGAGACCTGTAGCTAGTAGCGAAATTTTATATTAAAAAAATCCCGATGGAAGGTGGGGGGGTTTTTTTTTTTTTTTTTTTTTTTTTTTTTTTTTTCAGGAAATAATTATTTATCATTTTGATAAATAAAATGGCTTAGCATATAAACCTTCCAATTTTTTATCATCAAAACACAAATTGAAGAAGATTTGTGACACACCCCACTTTGAGTAATGCTACTAGACTCGAATCGTGACATGTGCCGATGATAGTTACCAACCCAAGGTTGGACCCTTTATTAAGGCTACTACATTATGCACTTCTTTATAAATTATTCTTAATAAAATTTAGACATTCTTTCCTCCGTAAATAGGACTAACCAACCTGTAATTTACTGTGTATAAATTTCAAAAATAACACAACACTTTAGAGATAAGTAGAAAATTCAGCTTTTACTGTGAAAATAACGTAAAATGTACATATGGATGCGAAATATATGATGAGCCTCATAACGATCTACAAGTGATACAAAATCACATCAAAAAATAACGTGTCCCAAAATACTGATTACATGCTCTATGAAATGAGTCATATTGGCAAACTTTGTTGTGTGGTTCTGATTCCCAAATCAAATGCTCAACTCTAAAGGATGATTAAAATTCCAACTGCTATTTGATAAGTAAAATCATGGGAAAATATATAATTTGATAACTCAGTGAGTAGAGAAGTTAAAAAAAAAAAACTTTTGCATTTATATATTTTTATCAAAATCGAGTCTACATCACTTAATAGGTCATAATATAACATTATATAATAATCAAAATAGAAATTATTTTTGTAATACTAAAAAATATCATCTCTCAGACAAGATAAAATCATCAATATAAACTTGAAATATTTTCATTTGAAACTTTCATTTTTTATTAGGCCCTTAACACAATTACTAGGTACTGGATCAAACTCTCATAATATAAACATCAGTAATAAATAATCAATTGGACATAATCAAGTGTCCCATTTTCTTGTGATTATCAGAGGTACATTCTTTGATAGCCCCTCTAATCATCCAAGAAATATCCCACCCGAGATGCTAATAATCACAATATTACAGTTGAGTGGACCATTCTTCTATGATCACTCGATGTACATCACCCGATAACCCCCATGATCACACAAGAAGTATTCCACCCGAGATGCCAATAATTATCATATCACAACGGCACAAGCAACTGGTCATTCCTAACGTGATTACTAAAGGCACATCCCTTAACTACCCTTGCGATTACTCGAGAAGTCTTACTTGCGATCAACACAATGGCATGCCTCGCATATCTCGGTGATTTAGTAGTGGTCAATAAAATGGATGAATTTTACAAACGGCCACTGAACTTACGCGAGAATTACAAAACGGTCGTTGAAGTTTATAACTTTCAAAAACGACCACTTAAGCACCTGAGGCTCTCAAAATTTTGTATAATCAAGTGTTTTGGTTCTTAAGTTTGAATTAGAATCATTTTGGTACCTTCAGTGACCATTTGCTCAAGTTTTAAAAATTTCAGTGACCATTAGTGAAACTGCCCGAAACTTTAGTGATCGTTTTTGAAAGTTTTAAACTTCAGTGATCGTTTTGTAATTTTTGCGCAAGTTCAATGACCGTTTGTGAAATTAACCCTCAATAAAGCATATGTTTCACATTCCAATTCACAAATAATCCATATCTAATCTTGAAAGTTCCACATATATCATATTCAAAGAAATTTTCATAATAATCATATAATTTAACAAATAATTCACATAACTGCACATAATGTAACTAATATACTTAATTTATCAACACTTCAAAATATTTAAGGTTATTTTATTATATTTTTTATTTTTTTCACATACAGAACTATATATTCAAAATCAACTCAGTAGGTTGTCTCGATATCTTCATATTGTCGCTTGAAATATAATTTAATTTTTAGATTAACAATCAACCATTTTAAGTAACGTCAATAATTAAATAGGAGATACTAAATCCTAATTTTTTTATACTTAACCAATTTCCCCAATTCCTTTAATCACTTAAGCTACCATTCTTCCTTTCAACTTAGTTTCCTAGTTTATTATACTTAATTCAATAGCTCTCTTTTAATAAAATTGAATTTAAACTAATAACCTAACAACTCTAAAATTAAACATAATTATTCAATAAGTAATTTTTTACTTACATTTGAAGTTGAAGAATTCAAGTTTAATAGTAGAAAACATTTATTTTCTAAAAACGATGGCAAATTTTCCTCTTTTTTTTCCCTTTCTTCTTCTTCATCCTCTCTCCCCCCCCCCCCCCCCCCCCCCCCCCCCCCCCCCCCCCCC